GGAATTATTAATCCAAGCAAGACCTTGGACCCTGGATTAGTATATGAAGCAGGAACAGGGGATTGCACCTATCTTTTATGTGCAATGATCTTCACATGCCAACAAATTTCAGTCCATGACCAGGTCATTCCTTACAACTGCTCGAACCCATCTCTAGATTTGAACAATCCATCAATCATATTTTACTTCGAAGCAAACAATAGCTAATCAACAGCTAAAAATTTTTTCACACTCGAAATTCACATTACAGATTCCTATAAATTTCATTCCCACAATGTCAGATACGTACGGCATATGAGTCTATGACCTATATCAGAATTTGACCTATCTTTGGCAGAGAAAAACGTCTACTTGACCCAAACATTCGGCCTCCTGGCCAATGTGACCCAAAATTATTTTCATAAGCTAATTACATCTGAATAGTTTTACTTTCTGATCATTTTAGTCCATTTTCGTCAATTTTAATCTTACTCTGTTAATCTTATATATTAGAAGAGAAAGAATTCGGGACAAATGGCATGCAATTAGAAATCAATTAAAAGAAATTGGAAAATAGACCTCAATTAGATGTAATAAATCAATTTCAGTTATTTACGTCTATGCTTCTTAAATTAAGGTAAATAATATCCAAAAAAAATTTGAATCTCAATGATTCTAGCATAACCCTATTTTATCACAGTTAACTACTATGAATCTAATCTTATCGTATAAAATATATATATATATATATATATAGATACATACATACATACAGGCAAATATCCGATTAGAGGCACTATTTAAAAATTATACATAACCATTGACAAAAACTAATCAATCTAATCAATTAGTTGTAACTACATTATTAATTCAATTAAATGGGGATAAAATTGATTTGGTGCATTTATTACCATCATCTTTTTTTTAAAAAATAATAATTAGTGTTAATATAATTCCATATTAAAATATTCTTTTTTTTTGTTTACTTCAAAAACTAAAACTTCAAAAATTAAACTGCTCATTCTAAATCTTATCTATTTTATTATCTTCACATCTTAACCCAAAGAGACGAAGAATTAAACAAACAATTCAACTCTTGAAGAATGTCTTTACCTCTCTCTATTTTTTGTCTTTTCATCCTCTGCATGTTAGTATTACGGAAGTCGATGGGGTTCTACCTCAAAACCGATTGACTATGAGGGCGAGTAGCCCATTTACTTATATAGTGATATCATGTCTCTCCCAACACTGATGTAGGACTGGAATTCTTAACACTCCCCTGCAAGCCCAACGTATTTTTTGGGCTGGGCTTGACTTGTTTTTTTCAGTCCAGGCACCGCCTCACGTCTCAACCCTATTTTTTTTGTTGGGCTTTTTTGAGTCCGAATATTGGCGGGCTGGCTCTGATACCATACAGAAGCCCATGGAGTTTCACCTCAAAACCAATTGGCTATGAGGGGAAGTAGCCAATTTACTTATATAGTGATATTATGTCTCTCCCAACACCGATGTGGGACTGGAATTCCTAATAAGTATCTCTGACTATTTTTTCAATTTCAAATACCCAAACTTCTCATAAACTTCTTTACTCTTACAACCATGCTTTACATGATTTTTGTACCGTCCTTTCTCTTTCAGAGATAGAAACTCTGAGAAATCACCCCAGTTTCATCCACATTACGGTTGACACACCTGTCGAAATTCAAACCACGCATTCTTCTGAATTTCTTGGTCTAAATTCCGATTATAGTGTGTGGCCAACCTCTGGCTATGGAGAGGATGTAATTATTGAAGTTGTTGACACTGATGTGTGGTCGGAGGGCCGGAACTTCCGCGATGATGCAATTACTGAAGTCTCGATTGGATGGAGGGGAGAATGTGAAGCTGGATTACAGTTCAATTCCTCTGCCTGTAACAGGAAATTGATTGGAGCTCGTTTATTTAAACATAGGCTTGCTTGCTAGTCCCCGTGGTTGAACCTCTCAATGAACTCAGCCCGCGATGTGAACAGACATGGAACGCATACATCGTCGACTGCTACTGAAAGCTACATCGACGGAGCCTCTTTCTTTGGATACGCATCAGGTACAACTGTCGGAATTGCTCCGAAATCTCGTTTTGCCATATACAAGGTGGAAAGAAGGAGCCTTCCTCTCCAAAATTGTAGCATTGATTGATTCCGCCATCAGTATTGGTGTAGATATTATGTCCTTATAATAACAAAATATTTTGTTAATCACACAAATATTTATTATTAATTTTGTGTTACTATGTATCATTTATTGTTTAGAATATCACCACAAACAAATATATTAATCCATTTAATCATGACATGTAATTTTAATTTGTGTCTAAATGCATATATTGTAATCGGTACTAGTTATTTGTAATTCACGTGCAAATCACATTCAAAACATGTACAAGTCACTTGCAAATCATGTACAAGTCATGTGCAAATGTAAGCTTATAAAGTTGATCAAAAGTTAATTAATTGATACGTGTTATTATCATACTTCCACTAAAAAATATTTTTGCCTCCGCCAATGCTATTTAGCACTGGTGTCTCCTATCTTTTTGTTTCTTTTAGGTTCTTCTACATGTAAATTTCCATCGTCCTTATCTCTCCTTATTCTTTGGTTTTCTTTTTTTTTTTTACCATTTTCTATTATCTATATGTGGGTGTGTGTGTGCGCGTGTCACTCCTAGTTTCCATTTTATTAGTGTAGTAATTTCTATTTTTGAATATTTTGATTTTGACTTCTGAAATGAAATTATGGGCATGATCCTACTTGTATTTCTTAAATGAAGATCATCTTCGTATCATAGTTTCTTTAAAACAAAAGTTTGCAAAAATCAAGTCCAAAGGAATTTTAAAATGAAAGGTACATCTTTATCATTTAAGTTTGTATGGTTGATATAAACCATTAATATAAAAACTAGACTTCTGACGCGCTTTGCATGACCATCCAATACTAGTAATTCTAGAAATGAATACAACTCGGTTCAAATACTGACAGGTCACTTGAAAAAGAAAGAAAAAAACAAAAGTAATAGTAAGAAAATTGATATGTTTTCTATTCAAAAAAAGTCCCATACTCTAAATTATAAGCTATAGTAAAAATAATAAAGTTTACAATATATAAGTAAACTATTTTTATAAGACGAAAAATGTATTATGGAAGAGAGCAGGAAAGCCAAGAGATCGCTTCTCCCAAGCAAATTATCCACTTATCTAGTTTCTTCAATTATATATACTATTTTTTGCGTACCAAAAAATAATTCACATCGAATTTTCAATTAATTTGTACTGAAAATTCATTATTTTCTTCGAGAGAGTTTTCGTACGCGTAAGTTTTCATCGTGCTCACCTTTCTTTATACTTTGGTTTCTTTTCCTTACTTTAGACTTATGACTGTGTGTGTATCACTCCAATTGTGTTTTTTTTTTTGGTTGTTTGTTTGCGTGAATATTGTGATTGTGAAAAATGAAGTGAGAGGTGCAGCAAGCAGTTTTGAAAAAAAAAAAAAAACCTAAAATAAAGTAGTTGAAGTATTGATAATTATAAAAAAAGACACGAATCTTTCGCTTTGAAGTTTGAATAATACTTCTTTAGTAATTTTACATAGTACTTTTTGCCATAGATGATAATACGACTTTATCTCGAGCATATATGTGAATATTAATTTGGAGGGTGATGACCCTCAAAAGCTAGAAAACAAACTTCCTGAATTTTTACTGATCGGTTTGTTGATCCAATCCCAAGCCATCCTCAATGAAATGGTGTTAAATCAGTTAACATTTTGTCATAAATGTTCAAACTTTTGAAAACGAAAAAATAGGCGAGTCAAATTAAGAGAAAGAAATTAACTGGACGGGAAATTTTTATGGAGTTACTGTAACGGAGAATGTTCTCCATCTCCAGAAGGATGCGATGTTTATTTTCAATGGATTATAGCATTTATTCAGTCGTCCTCATAGCATAAAAATCGTGTTTGATTGATTATGCATTTATTGATTCATCTATCGTCAAAGTGTTGGATTTGCAAAGTTGTTCTCCATGATCTGAAAATACTAATGAATTTATTTTTCATCCGAAATAATACCATTCCAAGGTTAATCAAACGGGTCATTTGTATAAGGTGCGATTTTAAATTTGATTCATTCGTAATATGTGTTTTATTATTAAATAAGATCGGAGAAAGTACGATCGACAATAGTGGAGTGTGTCAAATATACAATCTCTAGGCACCTGCAATTAATGGTTTGTGCGCTATTGATACCATCCGATTGGCATTACAAAATTGGACCTTTGTGTTTTAGCACAACACATGTATATGTTGTTATTCAAAGAGGAGTAAACATTAAAACAAATATCCAATTCGATTTTTTTTTTTCAGATTCATCAAAGCTTATAATTAAGATGCATATTCCATTCCGTTATGAAAAGGCCAGAAAAATTTAATTAAGTTCGAAGCAATGATTGCGCTTAAGATTAGGTTATGGGTCGCAATCCTCGTTCCGAGCCAAGTTAAAACACTAGGCCTTAGGCAATACTCTAATATGGTCATAATCCCATGGAGAAAATTCGGACTGCATCAAGTCTTATTCGCTGGAAACGATGCTCATTTGTTTTCATTATCTTTGTTCACATATATCATATGGGGCCCGAATGAATATATCATACATGATAAAATCGTTTAATGAGTTTCTAGATGACAATTGGAAAGACAATGCTGACTTCCCTAATGACTTTTTATATAGTACATGCAAAGGGTGTCCTAACCATTAATTAGTCTGCGTTTCTTTCAATATCACTTTTTTTGTTTGTCCCATCAGGCTTAATTAAAAGTTGGAAACGTCAACACATGCGACATTGACTGAATCTTGAATCCATTTTTATTGATAATTTAGGGTAAAATCTGGTCACACAAAACAGTAGATTGTGAAAAATTAATCAAAGAAAAAGAAGCGTGAACTAGTATAAATATGAGCATGTGGAAAGCTAATCAAAGAAATAAGTGTTAGCATCTAGTTTGTGAAAAAAAAATGGACTTTGTTAAACAAATGTCGCTTCTATTCTTCATTTCATGTTTTGTTGTAAATTTGGCTTGTGCAGAGAGGTCCACCTACATAGTTCATATGGACAAATCATTTATGCCGACACCTTTTGCTAGTCATGAAGAATGGTATTCAAATACCATTGATTCTCTGAAATTTACCCAACCCAATTCAAAGCAACAGAGTTCTCCTTCACTGATCTACACTTATAACAATGTACTTCATGGATTCAGTGCATTGTTATCCCAACCTGAATTAGAAGCCCTCAAGGATTCCCCGGGCTTTATTTCGGCTTATAGCGACAAAGTTGCGAAACTTGACACAACGCATTCTTACAAGTTCCTATCTCTCAATCAGGAAACAGGGCTGTGGCCAGCTTCTAATTATGGAGAAAATGTCATAGTCGGTGTCATTGACACCGGCGTGTGGCCGGAAAGCCGAAGCTTTCGTGATGACGGAATGCCTGACATTCCCTCCAGGTGGAAAGGAGGATGTGATGGCGGATATGATTTCAATTCATCATTGTGCAACAAGAAGCTGATTGGGGCTAAATACTTCAACAAGGGAGTGTTAGCTGCCACCAAAACACGCCGTCACGAAATGTACTCCGCGAGGGATGCCGCGGGACATGGCACGCACACCTCATCCACTGTTGGTGGAAATTATGTGAAGGGAGCTTCGTATTTTGGTTATGCCATGGGGACAGCAAGAGGGGTCGCGCCTCGGGCGAGGTTGGCGATGTACAGAGTCATTTTCGAAGAAGGGCGTTATGCCTCTGATGTACTCGCAGGCATGGATCAAGCTGTTGATGATGGTGTTGATATCATTTCAATTTCAATGGGATTTGATGATGTTCCATTGTATGAAGATCCAATTGCCATAGCTTCTTTCGGAGCTATGGAAAAAGGTGTTCTTGTTTCGAGCTCAGCAGGGAATTATTATACAACTCTTGGATTGTTACACAACGGAATTCCCTGGGTGTTAACTGTTGCCGCTGGATCAATGGACCGTTGGTTTGCCGGAACTTTAACACTTGGGAATGGATTAACAATCACTGGTTGGTCGATGTTTCCTGGAAAGGCTTCTGTTCGTAATTCACCTTTAATATTCAACAAAACATTATCTGCTTGCAATTCAACCGAGCTTCTGTCACAATTTACTTCTGGAACAATCATTTGTAACAGCATTGACTCATTCAACAGAGAAATCATCTCGCAATCAAGAGTTGATGCTGCCATCTTCATCACTGACAGCTTTACTTTCGACGGTTCCACATTCCGGTACCCTGGAGTCATCATTAGCAGTGAAGAGGGTGCCAAGGTGATTAGGTATGCTCTGAATGGAGCAAATCCCACTGCCACAATCGAATTCCAGCAAACGTTGCTCGGGAAATCGCGAGCGCCAATCGTCGCTGAATATACTTCCAGAGGTCCTTCGCCGAGCTATCCAGGAGTTTTGAAGCCAGATGTAATGGCACCAGGGACATTGGTTTTGGCCGCCTGGATACCAAATGATCCTGTTGCTTTAATAGGCACAAATATTAGGTTATCAAATGACTTTACCCTTGAATCAGGCACATCTATGGCTTGTCCACATGCTTCTGGTATTGCTGCACTTCTCAAAGGCGCGCACCCTGAATGGAGTCCGGCAGCGATCCGATCCGCCATGGTTACCACAGCAAACCCGTTGGACAACATGGGAGATCCTATCAAGGATATTGGATTCGATTACGCGATCGCAACCCCTGTATCCATGGGAGCAGGACAAGTCGATCCCAACAGCGCGCTTGATCCAGGCCTAATATACGACGCCTCAGTTGAAGACTACATCCAGCTACTTTGTTCCATGAATTATACCGAGAAACAAATCGCTACAATCGCTAGGTCGAAATACAAGTGTTCGACGAACTCTTCTGATCTAAACTACCCATCATTCATTGCTTTGTATAAGAACGGGACAAAGAGTGTCAGGACTAAGAGATTTGAAAGGATTGTCACCAATGTCGGAGATGGAGAAGCCGTATACAAAGCTCAGGTGACTTCACCAAAGGGTTCATTGGTTAATGTCTATCCTGAAACATTAGTTTTTGGACAGAAGTATGATAAGCAGAGTTATTCTCTATCCATAAAGTACAAGGCTGATCATAATATGACTGTCACATTTGGGTCCATAACTTGGGTTGAGGAGAATGGTAAGCATACTGTAAGGAGTCCTATTGTGGTCGCACCCATGATTCCAGTTTGGTGATCCATTTAAATTAGGCTAGTATTTTTCTTTTTAAGCTTTAAGAACTGGAAGTTTCAGATTTGTAGTTGTTGGTTTGAAGAAGAAAACAAAGAGAAATAAAATTGAAATTATTGCGTGCACATTAAGTGCAGGGAGCTGCATGCACTTAATGCGCGTGGAATTACACGCTTAGCGCAGAGGTGTGAACAGTGCCACGCGTGGTTACTGCACAATCTTTTCTTTTTTGTTATTTTATTGGTTTTTTTTTTTCTCTTTTTGAATTTTGGGATTTTTTTTTCCCCAAATGTTATATTATACATTTATCTAGGTAAATGGGTTTTAAAATTTTCTTTAATTTTCAAATGATTTTATTTCATAATCCGTAAATAATTAGACCAAGTGTCTTATCTCATTTTGATAGTACTCGATGAGATCTATCCAATAAGATCCCTCATGAATATATTTTTTGAAACATAAAAAATTTTATTAAACAACCTTGATCTTCCTAAAAGGCATTCTGGTCTTAGTTGTTGCTCCTAAGTATTTTGTGCAAACAGTTTGGTCTTTTTATTTGTTACTGTAGGTCTTGACTTTTATGTATTTCCCTTGGTCTTCCTAAAACCAGTGTTTGAGTAGCTTGGACAAAGGACCAAAGACCAAAGGCCAAAGGCCAAAAATCAAAGACCAAATACCAAAGACTTAGAGACCATAGTGAAGAGCGAAAATATATGAGGAGCAACGATCGAAGACCAAAGGACAATGACTAGAGAGCAAAGACTAAAGACAAAAAATCGAAAACTAAAAACCAAAGACCAAAGGCCCAAGGCCAAGAACCGAAGACCAAAGATCAAAAAAAAAAATAGTGTGTTTAGGGTTTAGGGGGATTTAACCATTTCCGTGTCGTTTAGGGTCTACTTTTGTTTAGGGTTTAGGATTAGGGGTTTAGGGGGAAGGAAGCATTTCCGTATCGGTTAGGGTCTAGTTGTTTGGGGTTTAGGGTTTAGGGGGGCTTAAACATTTCCGTGTCGGTTAGGGTCTAGTTGTTTAAGGTTTAAGGTTTAGGGTTTTAAGGGGCTTAAGCATTTCCGTGTCAGTTAGGGCTTAACTTGTGCCGTAACACGATTAACCTTATGAAATTTTTTTAAACCAAAAAAAAAAATTAGTATGTTTAGGGTTTAGGGGGGTTTAACCATTTCTGTGTCGGTTAGGCTCTAGTTGTTTAGGGTTTAGGGTTTAGGGAGGTTTAAGCATTTCCGTGTCGATTAGGGCCTAATTTGTGCCGTGACACGATTAACCTTATGAAATGTTTTTTTAACTAATTAGGTTAGGGAGCCTAATTGGTTTAAAAAAATTTAAAACAAAAAAAAATTAGTGTGTTTAGGGTTTAGGGGAGGTTTAACCATTTCCGTGTCGGTTAGAGTCTAGTTGTTTAGGGTTTGGGGTTTAGGGGGTTTAAGCATTTTCGTGTCGGTTAGGGTCTAGTTGTTTAGGGTTTAGGGGGTTTAAGCATTTCCGTGTCGGTTAGGCCTAATTTGTGCCATAACACGATTAACCTTATGAATTTTTTTTTAAACCAATTAGGCTTTGGACCCTAGCCTGACTGGTTCAAAAGAATTTAAACCCAAAAAAAAAAAAATAGTGTGTTTAGGGTTTAGGGGGGTTTAACCATTTCCATGTCGGTTAGGGTCTAGTTGTTTAGGGTTTCGAGTTTAGGGGGTTTAAGTATTTCCGTGTCAGTTAGGGCCTAATTTGTGCCAAATAACACCATTAACCTTATGAATTTTTTTTAAACCAATTAAGTTTTGGTTTAAAAAAATTTAAACCGAAAAAATAAAAACATATTAGTGTGTTTAAGGTTTAGTGGGTTTAAGTATTTCTGTGTCGGTTAGGGTCTAGTTATTTAGGGTTCAGGGTTTAGGGGGGTTTAAGCATTTCTGTGTTGGTTAGGGCTTAGTTTGGTCTTTGGTTTTTGCTCCTCATACACACTCGCTATTCATTCTGGTCTTTGGTCTTTGGTCTTTGATCTTTAGTTTTCGGTTTTTGGTCTTTGGCCTTTTGTCTTTGGACTTTGTTTTTCACATACGCTTGCTCTTCACTCTGGTCCTTGGTCTTTGCTGTTTGGTCTTTGGTCTTTGATCCTCACACACACTCGCTCTTCACTTTGATCTTTGGTCTTTGTTTTTTGGTCTTTGCTCTTTGGTTTTCTGTTTTTGGCTTTGGCCTTTGGTCTTTGGTATTTACTCTAGGTCTTGGTCCTAAAAGACACAAGTAAGACCATAGCGTCTTTTAGGATGATCAAGCCAACTGTATAAATTTTTTAAAGTTTTGAAAAACATATTCATGAGGTATCTTGTTGGATAGATCTCACCGAGTGCTATCAAAATGATATAAGACACTTGATTTAATTATTTACGGATTAAGAAATAAAGTGATTTGAAAATTTAAAAAAATTTTAAAACCCAATTCCGAAAATTAAGGAATGCTTGTAGGGAGGATTGTTTAAGGGCGTGTGCTTCACGCATAAAAAAATCCAGATATGAAGGGACAAGGAATTAAATGCGCTCGTGTCTTCATGTTAAGTGTAGCTACCAAGTTGCACTTAATGCTTATAGTATAATAACTCGAAATAAAATGAACAGAATACCACTGTTAGATTTCTCTTTGTTTCATTCCAAAAAAAAATAAAAATAAAAATAAAAAAAATTGGATGTTGCATTGCAAACTTGGAGGCACACTTTGTGTAAAAGCCACTACTAACTCCATTTATCTGATTTTATCTCAGATGCCTGATTATTCATCTTTCAATATGTGGTTTCAATCTTTCCATAATTTTGAAGTTATCGACAGACTCATAAGCCTAATTCGCATTTTACTAGTAGTACAACCCATGTATTCTATCTTTTCCATTGCTTAATTGTGACGTTTTTGTTTGACAGCGTAGAGAATGCGTCCACATGCTCTCAGTATAAGAGCCGAAAAATGTTTGTCCCATTACTGACATAGTAGTTATTTGTCTGTAAAATACTTAATCAACCCATGTTTAAGATCAAAATGATTTAATTAATGGACATCATTGGATACCAACCTCAAATGCTGAAGTTAAGATTTATTAATCAAGCTAATTAGCTAGGGTTCATTTGTTTTGACTCCATCAGGAATTCAGGATCTAAGACATGATACCAAATGAGAGTTAAAGAGTTTCAATGTGTTCTTAGGCATGAAGAGAAATTTGGCGGGAAACCAGTAATACAGAGTGAAGTAGCAGAATTCCAAACTGTTCAATTTCTCTGCCTGTAGCAGGAAATCCGGCAGGAATTACAGGTGCAAGTTACACTAGGAGGGGCCGCGGCTTATATGTTACAATCTCAAATTTGCGGAACAGGCTAACCTTTTAACTTCAGGAGCTAGTTAAGAATGTGCTCATCGTTGAACGTGGTTTTGTTTGGCTTATCATTTCTTGACCAAGATTGGTTCATACTTCATGATGTCTCTTCAAACTCAGCAATTAATACTCTCAAGATTTTCTCAATCCCCATCAATAATAAAAATTATAAAAAAAATTGACCATGAGTAAAAAGCATCTAATAAATTTACACCATTTGCCGTGTGTACTCAACCTCCTCAGAGAAAGAACATACGATATTATGTTTAACTATAAAATGTTTTATATTTAGGACCCAGAGAAAGAACAGTAGCATGACATGTTTCACTGTCTAATTAAATAAGTTAAATATTCATACTTTAGAAGGTACACGAAACATACGATATTATGTTTTAAATTTTAAATTAACCACTGATTATCCACAAATGAATCTGTAGATATTATTTCCGTAGTAAATTTGTGGGAAATATTTTTCATTAGTTACGAACATACCCACAAAATTATTTATCACGAGAGATGTTGTAGATAATCCGTAGATAATATTTACTTTTTCCACGAATCACTCGTGGGTAGATTACCCTCAGAGTTTTCTGTGGATATTTTGTAGTTAAAGGCTTAATTAATAACGGATTATCCACAACTACAAGTATCAGTGGGTTAAGTCGTGGTTATTCCGTGAGTATTTCATGGGTAAAAATTTTATTGTGACTTTCGTGATTATTTTGTGTGTAAATCATAGTTATTTAATCATGAAAAGGTCTTCCATGTTTATTCCGTGGTAATTAGGGTGTTTTCTTGCTTCGCACTTTTGATTCTCTGAATTCAATCATGATGATGATTTCAGTTGTTTTAGAATTGTCTCTACTACATACTCAGCATTTAATATTCTCAAGATTTTCTCAATCTCATCAATAATATTAAAAACATTGACCTCCTCTCAAACATTTGCAGTGTACGTACTCAACTCCTCTCAAACAACAATGGCGTCTTCCAAATGCAATAATGTTTTGTACTTGGCTGTATTTTCTGCTGCTATACTCTTGCTTCTTCTGGGTTCTTACCCATGTAATCAATTAAATTTTCTCCTTATAAATCGTCCCTGGTTGTTTTTACCAATAACATTTGGCGCGGGAATCTGTTCGCAGATTTTTTTTTTCTTGAGAATTATTAATGATTGAAAATGCACTTAATATTAATTGTTGATTTTGAGATGAGAAATCTGACTTTTCAAAAATAAATATAATATGGCAGGTGAAGGAAGCCTTGGAGCAAAGAAACTGGAGCTAGAATCGATTGTTTCACACAGCAGTGGTTTAGGTGATAAAAATAACATTACGGTTCGTCAATGCAACCCAACGGGGGGCGCAAGAGGAAAGGTGATATGGTGCTGCGAAGATGCATGTTTCCCATCTCTTTCTGCTTGCAAATTAGTTTGTGATAAAGTTTTAAACACCGCTTAATGCGTGAAAAACTTCACCCTTTTTTTTTGTTCTCAAATACAATGAGATGTATAATCGGTTAATCCAATAATTTTAATTATGTTAAGAGATATTATCAAACAAGTCCTTTAGAGATCTCTATCACGCTTGCACAAAAATTAATGAATGCAGAATATGATGTTGAAATGAAATCTAGTAAAACACAGATACAAAAAACAGAACGGTGCAATCAGAATTGGCCTTCTAACACAATGCTGACCGTTTTCTTCAAAGCGATCAGAAACCTGGAGTAAGATGCATTTTCCGTTCCATTATATATGAAATGGCCAGAAATATTTTACTTAAGATCAAAACAGTGATTGCGCTTAAGCTTAGGTTTATTCGTGTGTCCTCCATGTGAATATCCACACCATAAATTGCCTCTTAAGTGATCTAAATATATAAATCTATTATTGATCATTGACAATATTTAGTTTTAGCAATTACATATTTTCTCAGCAAACTAGTCAACTGTGTTGGTGCAATTATTCCATGTGCAAGTACCCAAACCATGCATGATCTATGTCCATTTGATCTTATATGTGTCATT